TTAATATACACCCCACACACCACATTTTTGAAGCTGTTGAAGTTGGGTTTTTTTTGTTGTTAATCTCTTCAGGTAGATATCCAGGAATATACCTGAGCTGTTACTGGATTTACACACATTTTAAAACTAAAAATAGAACAAATGATATACTAACTGACAGAATCTTTGGCTATGTCTACACTGCAGGTATCTGTCGGCAGAGAGTATACTAATGAAATGCTCATTAGCATTTGTTGCACTGTCATTTGCATATCTCTGATAATGCTTTTTGCACAAGAGGTTTTTGTGCAAAAAGCATCGGCAGAGATATGCAAATGACAGTGCAACAAATGCTAATGAGCATTTCATTAGTATACTCTCTGCCGACAGATACCTGCAGTGTAGACATAGCCAAAGATTCTGTCAGTTAGTATATCATTTGTTCTATTTTTAGTTTTAAAATGTGTGTAAATCCAGTAACAGCTCAGGTATATTCCTGGATATCTACCTGAAGAGATTAACAACAAAAAAAACCCAACTTCAACAGCTTCAAAAATGTGGTGTGTGGGGTGTATATTAAAACAAAAGGTGTGGAGGGGCCTTTGCTAGGAGTCTTCAGATGATCAGGAATGTCCCTGGAGCGCTAAGGGTTTTTTTTTTTTAATAAAATCACTTTACCAAGGCAGATGGATCCTAGTAGAAAATGTTGACTTTCTTTGCCTCAAGGTTATTCCGTCCTGCCACACTGACAGCTGACGTTAACCATTTCAAACACTGCCAAATTCTCCTTCAGGTAGTGTTCCGTGTAGTCTCTCTTAGACACGGGTAGAAAGAGCAAGCTTGGCAGTTTTGCAGTGGGGAAGTAATAGAGCAGCAGCATAACTCATGTAATGCCAGATGTGGGTGCAGAAGTATGATGTAAGCCTTTTAAGTAATGCCAGAATTCCTAGGCAGCTTCTTAGCTGGGAAGTCACAGCCCTTTCAGAAGAAGAATTTTAGGGGTCAAGGGAAGAGGTTAGGACTCAGCAGCGTGGTCACTCAATGCCTATATGATATACTGCACGTCTTGCAGGAACAGGCCCCACTACATGTTCATACTTTTCTCATTAAAAAGTGAGTCTGTTTAAAAAATAAAACTACCATCTCATCACTTACCAGTTAACTTGCTATCATTTATTATACTGTACTATAAACAAAAAGCTTAATTTTACATCATATGCTCTATGTGCCCTTTGTGAGACAACTGAGTATAGAAAATTTTACTGGCCCAGGACTGAACGGTGCCTATCCAGACCCTTGAACAGAAGTACTTGTAGGAAATTCCATATTTAAAGCCAGAAGTAGGAAATATTCCTGGGAAAGGCTGTTGTTTAACTGTTTAAATGATGACTATTTAAAGCTACAATGGGGGTTTGGAATGTTACAGTAAGTGCCAAGAAAACAGTAGCATTTAGGTGATGTCGCCATAGAAGTGTGTTGCAGGGTACTGAACTCTCTCACCTATCTCCCAAGGCCAGACTCAAATTGTGCAGGAGAGAAAGCAAACATTTGCAATGACCAGTCTCACTGTTATTACTTTACATAGAATAGCTCCAAGGACCCAGGTATAGTTAGGCCAGAAAATAGAAAATGTATCAGAGAAATCTGAACACTTCATTGCTGACTGTGATATAGATACTCAGATATACATCATCTTGGAGATCATGTACATTTCAAAGGGCTTGTCCATGTGAATGAACATTTAGTTTGTGGGAAGATGAGTGTGAATTTACTACACACTAGCCTGCTGCAGATTATCCACACAGATTCTTTCGAGGCACATTAATGGTTCACTGCTGCATTTTGATCTAGACCTCTTTGCAACAGGACTAAAACAAAGAGCATGAAAAACAGCTAATGTGGCTCAGCAAGATCCACAGCAACAGTCTGTGACAAGCTATTGTGCAGTAGATTCATATCCCAGCTTGTCACAAACTAAACGTCCTCGTACACAAGTCCTAACAACTGATGTAAATCTATAATCTCTGAATCTAAGATTTTATTTTTGTATGATTTATCAGAAAGGGACTCAAGTACACAGTACCAATAACCAGTGCGCTGAAAAATTCCTTAGTCTGAATACATCAATCCAGGACACTTTTTGAACTATTTTAGGAGAGAGCTCCATATAACCACTGAAATTGAGTTCTCCCTCTCTTTTGATTTTACCTTCCTTCCTTTTCTGGTCGGCCATACTTCCACTTCTTCCTCCAGATACCTCCTTAAAATGAAGGGGGCCACCCACGCTGTGGCTCTTACTACATTTAAAATGCAGAGTCGCAGCGTCTGCACAAGCCAGGACTGCTTGGTCCCGGCTCTTGCTGAGTCCAGAAGGCCCTGTTCGTGGCAAACCCTGTCTGCCGTGAACAGGGGCTTATGCCAGAGCTGCCTCTGTTCACGGTCACCAGGGCTAGCCATGGACAGGAGCTGCTGCTGAAGCAGCCCCTGCCCGCAGCCAGCGCTGGCCGCTGTGAACAGGATCTGCTTGGTGGCAGCAGCCTCCCCTATCCCCACTACACTGCCACTAATAGAGGCAGCAGGAGGTGGAGGGGCAGGTGGCACCCTGGAGACGGTGCTGGGGGAAACTAGCTTTTTACATCCCTACTTAAAACCTGATTTTCCCACAAGGTCCGTTATCCCATCTCCTGTTTTCCTATTCTCCGCCACTCAGTGAAGTGAAGATGAGTGGTAGTGTGAGCACGATGGTGACTGCAAACGAGAGAGAGTAATTATAAAAACCTCCCACAAACATCAAAACAAATCCATCGAAGAAGTGGAATCACAGACACACAGTGAAAGATCCCATTTGTTTATAAAACATCATGTATGCGTTAGGCCAGTGACGGGTCACTGCTAGCGCGTGGGCCTCATGAATGGCCCTCCAACTCAGTGGACCTCAAGATTGTTGTAACCAAGACGATCTCTCAGGTTAGGGTAGCTCTGCTAACTGTGTTTGTGTACCTAGAATGTGCGGGGTGGGCAGACTGAACCATAGCAACCCTTTAAATGTGAGAGCAGTGTGTTCTCTCTGCATGCAACATGAAATGAGGTGCATGCTGATTGCATCCAATCAATTTGCCCTTGCTTTACATGGCTGTGTCTACACTGCACCCCTTTTCCGGAAGAGGGATGCAGATTAGACACTTTGGAATTGCAAATCCGCAGGGGATTTAAATATCCCCCGCGGTATTTGCATTTACATGGCTGCCGCTTTTATCCCCAAGCCGGAAAAGCCAGAGAAAAGCGCCAGTCTGGACGTGATTCTCCAGAAAATAAGCCCTTTTCCGGAGGATTTCTTATTCCTACTTTCAAGGAATGTGTTTCACTTTGGCAATACCGGTAGGAAAAAAACTATGTGGATGGAAGTCAGCACAATCTAGCAACCCTGAGCAACAGTAAACAAAATGTCCTAAGGACCCCACGGGCCAGAGGTTGACCACCACTGTCACAAGATCTTTAGGGAAGGGACTAAGTATAAGACAAGAGACCACAGATGGATACAGACAAATCAGGAAGCTAGAAATACTCACTTTCTAATGTGCAGGGAGGCAGAAAAAAGAGGGCCTATCAAAGTTATAACAGAAAAAGAAGGGAGAGGAAAAAATGTGCCTGTCAATACCTGGTGCAGAAAAAAGAGGGCCTATCAAAATTATAACAGAAAAAGAAGGGAGAGGAAAAAATGTGCCTGTCAATACCTTTTTCTGTTTTAATTCTGATAGTCCCTATTGTTTTCACAGTTACACACTAACCCGGCTACACCCCTGAGACTTTGTAACCAAGATGGTCTTCCATGATAGAGTATTTTGCTTACTACGTCTGTGTACCTAGACTTTGCAGGGTGTGCTGATTGAACCGTAGCAGTGCTTTGATTGATGCAGAGAGAGCGCACAGCTCTCACAATTAATGCTGTGAACAATCTTTGAGCACCTCACTTCCCATGTCCTTGCTTTACATGTGGGTCACCTTAGCAATACAAATAGGAAAAAAATACGCATATAGAAACCAGAGGAATTTGGCAACCCTGCATGTGGGCAACGGTAAACAAAATGTCACACTGAACCCTGAGGTTGCCCACTACTGCTTTAGGCTCTGATCCAGCAAAGAGCTTAAGCATGATCTTAACCCTGCACAAGCAGGGAAGTGCTGATTTCAGGATCAGAGTGGTGCTTTAAAAATACCACTGTAGCTACCAGTAATGTTTTGTGCTCACAGACTGTGCAGCACTAAAGAAATGCATTTTAAGTTATGGCTAGTCCACAGTTAAATGAATGGTGAAGAACCTGTGTTCAATAAGCCACAAATCTGATCCCACATTAAAATAAAAACAACAAAACAAAGCCTTGACTTTGGCTAGGGGTTTCGATTGGAAACTTGGAACTAATGAGCTCTGAAAACCACATTTGTTGTACCAAGACTTCACTAAAAATAACTGAGCCACAACACGCTTTGTTTATTTTTCCTGTCTCCAGATTAACAGCTTCCATCCTGAAGCCCTCTGTCCCCCGGCAGCAGACAGCAATGCTGTCCCTTCGTTGGCTGGCAGCAGGTGTCAATGTTCACTCTGATTGTTTCCCTGTTCCCCACATAGCATACATCTCTTTTGTCAAATACTGGCATGGAATGAATGGACATCCTCTCTCCAGTAGGCCTCTGTATCTGTAAATGGAAACACTGCAACTGCTGCCAGCATCATCGTCTGAAAACTGGTTAAAATTGAAAACGAAAAAATCTGTTGTAAGAAAACTGAAGCAGAACATCCAACATACACTTGGTAAGAATCTTGTGTTCTCTGCATAGTTATCTGCTAAAGACATCTTTAGATACTCACTGTTTGACCCACACCAGAAATGCAACATTATCCTTTGCCGCATAATGCTGATTTTTATTGTTCTGGAGCAGAGTCAAGCAGCTGTTACTCCATGGAGTTCCTCCCACCCCATGTGGTGTTGGAGCATATTACACTTTAGCATCTATTGACTTACCATCCAGGGGACAGAAACGCGTCACCTTCTCAGGCATCAGCTTTCCTTGCTTGTGTTGACAGTATACCTCTGCAATCTCCCGCCGACAGTGCTTGGATTTGGACCGAGACAGAGCTGAAATTGCCTCCTTGCCCGATATTTCACACTTTGGTGGCTGGTCATATCTTATTTCAGGGGAACTATTCCCACTCTTTTTTAAATGGTGCTGCCTGGGAGACCTGTGACTCTCCTTCAAATTGCTGCTGCTGTTCTTTACTGCATGGTGGCTGAACTGAAGCACTTCATTGGAGTTCTTCCCCAGAAGGGAGTTCTCCTTCACCTTTTCTTCTTGCTCTAGTTTCTTTTTCAAGTGCTCCTTCTGCTTGCTAAGAGGCTTCTTCATCAACTCAGGCTGGTATTTTTGCCTCTGAGTCCTTGGAGCAAAGTTACTGTTATCAATATTTTCAAAGTCCTTGGGTACAGAGTTTTCATTATTGCTGTCTGTTCGCATTTTCTCTTTTGGCCGGTGGGAAAAATAACCATCCTACAAAAGGTGGGAAAGTTACATGAATGTTACTATACTTTTTAAATCATACTACATGAATTACATGCAACGTCTACATTACAGAGCAAAGTCAATTAAAAAAAATAAAAAGAAAAAGTCATACACATTAAAATAGACCAAATAAATACACATTGCACTGTGATACCCACACTCAGATCCCATAAACTGGGCCAAAATGAGGCTCATGTTTGTAAGCACCAATTCCCAAGGGCCTGATTCCATTAAAGTCAGAATGAAAACTCTATTGACTTTAAAGAAAGCAGAGTCAAGTCCGTGAGTGGTTTCAAATCAATTCAGTGGGACTACTTGCAAGAGTCAAGGCTCCAAAATCTGGAGCACTCATTAGTGATTTCCCCCTTGAGTAGCCCGACTGGCTTCATGGATACAAGCAGTGGTTTTCAGAGTATGGGTTACAACCCAGTACTGGATCATGAAATGCCAGGCACTAGGTCACTTTGCTGCAGGGTGACCAGGTGACTAGCGGGGGTTGCTAAGGCAGGCTTCCTGCCTGTCCTGGCACCACAGACTTCACTGCACCCCCAAATGTGGCCAGCAGTCGGTCCAGCTCCTAGGGGGGGGGGGGGGGGGTGGAGTTCCACAGGGCTCTATGTACTGCCCTCCCTGAGCAACTGCTCCATACTCAGATTGGCTGGTTCCCAGACTCAGACCTATTTCTGGCTGCTTCTGAGGCATAGTGTGGTCTGAGGTGCCAGGACAAGTGGGAAAAGCCAGCCTTAGAATCCCCACTGTTCTACTGACTTTGAGTCGCTGGAGGTAAGCCCGTGCCCAACTTGGTGCCCCAATCTCCTGCCCCAGCCTTAAGTCCCTTTCTGCTCCCCAAACCCTTCATTCCTGGTCTCATGCCCCAGCCCACACTCTAGTCAAAAATATAATTATGTTGGTTCACAGGCATCAACAATTTTCTTCAACTGGGTCATGGGAAATAAAGTTTGAAAACCACTGGATTAAAGTACTACTCTACGTGAGTAAAGATGCTATAGTCCAGCCCCTCACATGTTCAGATGATGCTAGATAGCAACTATAAAACTTTTCACTTTTAAAATTCTACTTAATCTGACAGTTGCTACTCACTCACAGTTGACACAGAAATGAAGCCAATAAGTAAAGATAATATATAAACAATAAGCAACGTGTAGGAGTGGAGTAAATGGTGGTCAATGGTACTCAAGTTTACACCCCTCTTCCCGACACAGGAATCTAGTTTATTTTCCAACAGCCTGATTAATTATATAGTTAAAAAAAACCACCTTAGTTAAGAATAGATTGTCTCTTGAATATTCCTCCTCCCCAAATGATCATATTATCATAGTTATATACATCAACAGTGCTATAACATAAAAAAAGTCTTATTCAGGAGAAGCAATCCACCCCAGAAAATATGTACACAGCCTAAAAGTGTAGGGCTGCACAGGACTTGAGAAGTATGCACTAAGACAAGACCAAGTATATCTAGACCACCTGTCAGGTATTTGTCCAATTTATTCTTCAAAATCTCCAATGATGGGGATTTCATAACCCCCTTGGAAGCCAGTTCCAGAACTTACTTACCTTTGTAGTTCTAGAGCTTTTCCTAATATTTAAATCTCCTTTACTGCAGATTAAACTCCTTGTCCTACCATCGGTGGACATGAAGAAAATTTGATCCCCGTCCTCTTTAAAACTGCCCTGAACACATTTGAAGACTATTCTCAGGCTCGCCTCACTGCTCTTTTCTCAAGATTAAACATTCGCACTGATAACTACTCTGAGTATGGTCTTCCTACCAATTTACTTTACAATAATTTCATGTAGACCACATTATGAGAATGTCATGTGAGAGTGTGTCAAAAAGCCTTGCAGAAATCAAGATATAACCTGTGTGCTGTTTCCCCCCATCTGCTAGGTCGGTAACCCTAACAAAGAGGGAACTTAGGTTTGTTTGTCATGATTTGTTCTTGACAGATCTATTCCTTATAACCCTATTATCCTCTAGGTACATACACACTGATTGTTATATAATTTGTTCTAGTATCTTTCCGGATATCGAATTTGGGCTGACTGGTATATAATTCCCTGAATCTTCTTTGTTTTCCTTTTTAAAGGCAAATACTGTGTTTGCCCTTCTCCTGACCTTTAGGATCTCGCCCATCTGCCAGGAGTTGTTGCAGATAATTGCTAACAGTACTGAGATTGTTTCAGCTGTTTCCTTAAGTATCCTAAGATGAATTTCACCAGGCCACATATTCTTGTTCATTCCAGAACTTTGCTTGCTTTCTTTCCCCGTTGTTAATACTGTGTTGACTAAAAATATCACCCTTAACCTTTTTAGTGAAGACTCCAATACAATAGGCACTAGACACACTAGCTATTGATGCCATTGATTATTAACTTTCCTAATCAGGCACAGAAAATCTATTTGCTTCATAATCCCCTCCCCCACCCTGTTCCTATAAAAACTCATTTTTGCATGGCAACAATTGCCAATGAAGACTTCTAGGGTTACATTTTGTTGTTGTTGTCACACTTTTTTATGTGCCTGACAGCACTTGGTGAAATAAATGCAGGCATACCAAAACCAGCTTCAATGACATTTAAAGCTGATGGAATGGGCTTGGTGGTGTGGACTCACTGTTTAGAAAACTGACCTAATGCAACTAAGTTTGACCCAAACTCCTACTGTAAACCAGGCCTCAGCAGTAACCGACTCCCCATCCTGTGTTCAGACCACACCTCCAGCACATATTTCAACAAGAAAAAGCAGCAAACTGAGCAACACAAATGTAATAAATGTAAAGCTTATTAAGGTTGTAACAAAGACATCTCTATTGAACTGATGCTGCTTTGACAAACTGGCTATTATGTTATGTATTTGATAGTTGCCATGCTGCCTTTTGTAGTAGGGAGAGAGCCTAAGACATAAGCCCAAGTCTTGGAAGCCTGGTATAAGACAGGATCCCCAAGGATAACAGGAACACACTGCCCCCTCCTAAAAGATAAGGTCAGGATGACAGTACGTAATGGAGATGTTTTCATTTAACCATCATACACAAGATAACTTCAGGGGACAGTAACTAACTGTGTGAGAAGCGCAGTGCTAACTTGTTTTTACTGGGGTATGAAGAGGTATTTGAGAGGGACTATCTTTGTTCAGCCTAGAAGGGCAATGAAATGTCCCGCCACTGACTACTGGGTCCTTTGTCATGGGCATTCATGTCTTAGTATCTTCCTAGAGTCATCCAGGTGGTATTACCATGCTTCATCAAAAATAAAATTCGCTGGATGCCTTTGTACCTTAACGGGTCTTATGGTCATTGGGCAGTTCATTCAGAGTCTGCTTTGTCAATTATCTGGGACAGCACACAGGAAAAACAGACACATGCAGCCAAACTTGTGATCACACCTTTGTTCTTACCAATCACTGAGTATTTTGACTTTTCCTGTTTTAATGTACTTATTGTAATGATCTTGCATTTATGTGTTTGATCAGTAGCTCAGGAACTCTAATTGTTCTACTGTTACATTATCTCTATGCTGTTGCTGGAATCCTTATTCATTCTTATGAAATAATTAAATACAATAATGTCCTCCATTTCCATTCGACCTTAGGCACATTTACAGCAAATTCCAATCAGGCACAAATATGCTAATTGCAATAACTGTTCTGTGATCTGGATTGTACTGTGTTGGGATCTGAATTTAAAAAAAAAAAAAAATTTTTAATGCCAATCACTATACCAAGTCTTACTAGAGGATTTGCCAGTGCTTCTAGTTTGGAATTCAAACAGCAGATACAGAAGGACTCGAGCAATGGCTACTTCATCTAGCTCCCTAGACAAAAGAGGCAGACTTATCAAACTAAAGCACAAAGACAGCTGCATGTATATTTTAACTTGTAATGCTTAGTCAAATCAAGTTATCACCAGTGAGAATGAACAATGATTTGGATATTACACATTAGATTATATATTCAAAATATAGTGTGCTTGTTGCATGTCTGAAATGAGGCAAATGGCAGGTTCTGGTACAAGTGAAAATGAGGGATGTAAGCAGGTACTCAACCACTCTACTCACATTCCCCTTGCCCCATGCTTAATGTGGTGCAGAAGGGGAGATCCTGGGACTGGCAAGAATCAAGGACGAGCCAGCTGCTCTGGGGGTGGCTCAGCCACAGCTCCGCTCTCTGCCCGTCCTATGCGCCGGGCTGACACTGCTCTCCCTGGGGCCTCCCTCACACAAGGCAGGTGGGGAAGCAGCCAGGGCTGCCCGGCACTGGATCAGAAACTGAGGACCAAAGCCCAGGCGGGCAGAGCGCATCGGCCAGGCAAGCTCAGCACTCCCAGGCTGCGCTTAGGGAGATGCAGACTAGCTGAGCGGCATGTCTCCGCAGGTTGGTCTCCCTTGGTGAGATGGGCCGATTCCGCTGGCAGCACTGTATAGAAACCTGGGCTGGGCTGGTGGTGCTCAGGGCTCAGTGTGGGCTGGGCAGTGGGGGCAGAACCTCTGGCTGGGCTGGGTGCTTGGGGAGCCCAGCCGCGACCCACAGGCACCTGGGAGGAGGCTCTGGTAGCTGAACTTGTGTGGCAGGACTCGCTGCTCGGCTGGAGTGACTGTGCACAGGCTGCAGCATCCCACTGGGCTGGCGGGCAGAGACCAGAGCTCGCCCATCGCCAGGGCTTTGTCCCAGATGGGTGCTGTGTGGCTCTGCCCAGGCTCACTGCAACTCAAAGGGGCAGAGCAGGATCAGGGGTCGAGGGCCAAGTGGGGCTCATGCAGCGTGAGCACAGCTAGAGTTGCGGCCTGGCCTCCACTCTCCACCCATCTGGGCTCTGACCGTCTGCTGCACAACTCACGTCTAGTGCACAGCCCCACCAGGGGGGAACCCTCACCCCAAAATAGCTTCCTGAGCTGGCTCAGTCCCGGCTCCTGCCAGGTTTAGCAGCCCCCACCAGGGCAGAGCCCTTGCCCCAAAATGGCTTCGGCTTTGCTCTGTGGGGCTGGAG